ATTTTTTCTACATATAGAAAAAAAGATGGGGGCCCAAACTAATGGAAGGACTCTATAATACTATAGAGGCCTATATATAACCTTTTTAGATTAGTGTTTGGCACCGTTCGGTACCGAGTCGGTATTTTCCGGTACTCCCGGTACCGTCCCGAACAGATTTTTGGAATTTTCAGTACTAACTCGGTATCGGGACTTTTCGGACTCCCGATACCGGTAACGAAAAATCCATTTGCCGAACACTAATTTAGATATGTAAAATCTAAGTTTTTTATATAAAAATTCAATCAATTTCAGAATAAATGTCTTCGATCACATTCATTTGTATTATTTGTTCCAAAGCTTTGACTTCTAATAATATGTATTCCACTTCATGTGGTCACGTTTTCCATAGCGATTGTATTACAAAATTTATCTCTCAAGTGGGAAATTTAATTAAAAATTTAAATTAGTTTATGTTTTTTAGAAAAAGTATTGTCCTAAATGTTGGAATGTTTTGAATTTGAATGAAATTAAGCAAATTTTTTTGGAGGAAAAATCTTCAGGTTGTTCAGGCAATGTGCAAATTAAAACTGAATCAAACATAATGAAGGTAGGCATTGACGCCTTTTTGAATGAGTTTATAGAATCCAATGTTGGGGAACACCCAATCTTCTTCGAATATTTTCCAAATATATGGATTTGGTTTTTGGTTTTTTGGTATAAAATAGAGCATAAAAATCTATGTTGTATCAATAATTTTTTAAATTATAAATATGTCTGTTAAAGGGGGGGGCACTTTTAATAAATATTTTCTAGGTTTATATTTGTAATTTCTACAAAAATCTTATTATACTATGTTTTTTATAATTTTTAAACAATCTTATTTTATTTCAGTTGTATGTTAAAGATACTTCAGGTGGAACAACTGTTATAGAAAAGGTTAAATTTTCAGATACACTTGAAGTTATTAAGTGTATGGTTGAAATGAAGCTGGGAATACCTACGTTTGAACAACGTTTGATTTGTAAATTAAAATTACCCCCTTCTAAATTAAATAAATAAATAATTTAATAAGAATTTATGTCTCATTTTTGGAAGCTTCTAAATCAGGTGCTCTCGTTCCAAAATCGCCGAGAACTAGAGACTGACCAATATTTTTATATCCTTTAAATATATGTCTTAGCAAATTGTACATATTACCCGATTCGATATTAATTAAAATAATTTTTAGATTTTTGCCGGCAAACAACTTGAAGATGGACGTACAATGGCTGATTATAATATAAAGGATGGTTCAACTTTGCATCTTGTTAAGCGTTTAGTCGGTTGTTGATGTTATGTTTTTTGGATATGAGTCGTTTTTGAATAAATTTATTTTTGATACAAAATGTTCTACATATAAACGATTTTTTGATAAAATTTGTTGGTTTCTCTGATTTTCACTTGTTATCCAAATCGAAACTTAAACTATGATTTTCCATGCTAAACATTCAATATACAAATTTGCTGAACAATTTTTTTGAGTTTTTTAATAAAATTTTTAGTTTGGAGGAGCTTTATGTTTGGATGGCTCAAATTTAGTGTGTTTGTTTAAATGCTTCCAATTGCCTAAAAGTGAACTAAAAATGAAATAGTAAAATTTTTATTTGGCCAACAATCATTTTACTTGTCTTTTTCACATTAATTTCTAAATTTGGGAATTTTTTGTTAATTTTATTTTTTGTGTTGATAACTCTCCTCTTTATTTATTCGAATGCTTAACTGAAAAAAGAGAAAATTAAAGCCGATATTTAATTTAAAGGTGTTCATATAGTCTTCAGCCAGCATCTTCAGTTGACAGGATAATGTTCTTCTATCCATTAATAACGCCGGCTCCTCTTTTCTTCCATATTTTACAATATAAGTACAATATCATTTTTTTGCTTTTCTGTTAATAAATTTCACAAAATCTTTTTATTTACTCTGAATAGCCTAAAATTTGCATTCGCAAAATCTTAACATTGTTCTAAAATTTTCCTTTAATGTCGGTTGGTAGCTCTAACTTGCAGCACTCAAATGCCTCTAAACTTTTTGCTCTTTTCTTCCATATTTATTAAGAATTATTTTTTCTGTACATATCTGTGTATTTCTTTTTTATTTGCTTTTCATTTTCTTTTTCAATCATCAATTCCGAGTAGAGATCGAGCTGGACCTGGACCAAGGCCTGGGTTTTTCCTGTACCCAGAGTCCAAGTCCAAGGCATTTTTTACCCTTCCTGGGTTTTTCCTGGACTACAGGCCCAGGATCCAGTCCAGGTCAAGAATCAAACTCCAGAGTCCAGGAACAGGTCCAGGCTTTTCAAAAATCCTGATCTCTAATTCCGAGTGCCATATTCCCACAAATTTTTATGTTTTTGAGTGGCTGCATCTGTTTTGGCATCATGTAAAAAAACTACCCTTTTTCAGAAAAATTTCTGCCTTCAATTTGCTCATTTCAATTAAAACTAGTGAAAAATAAACAGAATAAAGCTTTATATTTGAAATTTTAATTATTTTAATTGTTAAAAATATTCTGCATTATTTGAAAGACTTCGCCTTATTTTAGCCTACAAAAGGTCTCCTTGGTTTCGGGTTAAATAGTTACGCTGTATACTTTTCTGATAAAAAAAAGTCGGCGACCAAAACGAACACCCATCCATATTTTTTAAATTCAATTTTAGGGTAAAAGTCCAGCTCGCTATCTATATGTCCGCAAAAGCTTTTCTGCAAAACTCATTTTTTACTGTATTTTCCTTCTTTCCGTTGATGGGTTGACAAATTGGCGCAACTACATTGTGACGTAAATCATGAAAGAGTTTATTTGCAATTAATAAAAGTTTAACAGATATAATTTTATGATAAAGTCCCGCCAGGATTTATGGAATTTCACATAGAAATTTTTAGCTTTTGTTTTAAGCATCCAAACAACCTTAAGCGTTCAAACATAGCATTTCAATCCACATATATCTATTACGCTAAAATTTCTATGTGAAATTTCATAAATCTTGACAGGATTTTATCATAAAATTATATTCGTTAAATTTTTATTTAATTATCTGTAAAAATAAACTCTTTTTCTTAATTTACGCCACAATGCAGAAGCGCCAAGTTGTCAATCCATCAACGGAAAGAAGGAAAATACAGTAACAAATGAGTTTTGCAGAAAAGCTTTTGCGGACATATAGATAGCGAGCTGGACTTTTACCCAATTTTAGATTATTTAAATGTCTTCTACCAAATTTATTTGTATTATTTGTTCGGAACCTTTAACTTACAAAAATATGCATTCAATTTCTTGTGGACATGTATTTCACATTGATTGTATTAAAAATTGGATCATTCAAGTAGAAAATTTAATTAAAATTTAAATTTATTTTTTTCCATTTTAGAAAAATTATTGCCCCAAATGTTGGAAAAATGCAGTTTTGAATGATATTAGACAAATTTTTCTTGAAGAAGTATCTCCTAGTTATTCCGGCAATGTACAGAATAAATCAGAATCAAATACAATAAAGGTGGCTTTCGAGAATAAAAATAATGTTTTGAGATTAAGTGAAGACTAAAAAAATATGGAAGATATAATTTTTATGGGGCACTAACGGTTTGGCTGTACAATAGTATAGGAACACAGACTGGAAAACTCCAAGTATATATCATTAGATTCCTCTCGCCGAGCTGAGTTCAAATATGTAATCCTTTTTTAGGAAAAAAAACTCACATAGATATAGGCCCATAAATATTGAAAAATCAGGGAGAACCAAGGGATTTTTGGGGTAAAAAATTCGATTATGCAAATTTTGCTCATTCGAAAGAAACTGACGAGTTGATTTAATGTTTTTTAATACTATTTTTCTATTTCGGAAAATTCAATTAAATTTAACTTTCTTTAAAAAATTTTATTTCGTTTCAGTTATATATTAAAGTTATTGATATTATTGAGCCAATAATTCTCGACAAGGTGAAAACCTCTGATAAAATTGAAATTATTAAATGTATGGTTGAAATAAAGACTGGAATACCGCCGTCTCAACAACGTTTGGTTTGTAAATAAAATTCGAAAAATAAATTAAATTATTATTAAATTTATAAATTATATCCTGATATAAATAAAGGAATATTAATTTTTGAAAAAAAATTTTTTTGGAAACTTCTAGAACGGCTCGCGGACAAACCGTCAGTGAACATTTTTTGTAAGGGGATTAAAACAGATCGAGGATTTGGAAAATTGAGGAAATAGGAGAATTTTCGGTATTAAAAGGATATAAGTAGATTTGTTTGATATCGGGGAATTTAAATGAAAAAGGGTTGTATTATTGTTGGATTTGGATGAATATCGTGCGATTAAGGGAAATGGATCGGTTAAAAGTAAAAATTCTCGGAGCAATTTTGATCAATAATATTCATATAATCTTTTAAATAATATCAAACTAATATTTGATTTGATATTAATTAATAATCTTTAGATTTTCGCTGGTAAACAACTCCAAGATGATTATACAATTTATGAGTATAATATAAAGGATGGTTCGACTATGCACGTTGTTAAGGGTTTAAGAGGTTGTTGATGTTATGTTTCTTGGAACAGAATGTTAAGAAATTTTTAAAATTTGAATAAATTTTTTTGTTATGTACAAAATGTTTTGCAAAAATTGTTACATCATTACATCATTTTTTGTTAAATTTTGTTAGCTCTCATTGATGGAAATAAAATTGTTTGACAAAAGCAATCAAATATTCATTCGGCTTCCGCACTAAGGTTGTCGGTCGGCTCCGGATCCGAAAAAAGGCCGGATATCCGGATCGGTTCGGATATCCGAAGCTTTCCAACTATCCAACCTCTAACCTATACAAATACACATTCAGTGCGTATAAATATTGTTAGTATTTTTACTATCAGTATGGAACAATAAAAACTCCGAAATAGGATACAGTCTCTAGCACAAATAATATTTAGTTAAATTTTTTTTAAATCGATGCTATAAATAAAAATTTAAAAAAATTAATTCAATTATAAAATTCCTCAGCAAATAAATGTTTAGAAACGTCAAAACAAAATGGTTTAGCATCCAGATCGTTGCCAAAGTTTGCTTCAATAGAAAGGCAATTTAAACTTAAATATAAATTAAAATAATCATCACTTTCTTCTTTCAATAATACTGCTTTACCTTTAATAATAATTTTTTAATCAAAAATATTCTATTCTAACCAATCTGATTTCCATTTTGTGTAAAGAAAACATATGGATGTTTTCCTAATATTTCGGTTGGCGGAAAAACTAATCCACAACCAAAAATATCTCCATCATTAAAAGAAATTGAAGGAATTTTAAATGAAATCCTTTCAGTATTTGGAAGAGATTTATAATAAATACAACCATCATTTCCCAAAACAATATATCCTTTTGTATTTCGAAAACCAAACGATGAAAAATCAGGTCCTTCCTTTTTAATTTTGATTTCATAATAGTAAAATAATGAAGCAAAACTACAATCATTTTTTGGTTTATAAATTTTATACTCTGCATCAATAAATGCAAACTTATTTTCACCTGAATTAATATTTTATCGAAAGACACTCCAAAAAAGATCTAGTACCTTTCCCTTCTACACATTTATTATACTCAATATTTGTATGATTAATTATCTCAATAAATCCATTTCCATTTTCACATTTCCCAGTTGGTGTATATGTATTTACACAATCTTCTTCACAACATTTGTGTCTATTATCAATATATCTCCATTTATTTTTCATTTGAGTATATTTCTAAATAATTTGGCAATAGTTAAGTTTGTGTTTCCCCTTTTTCTTTCGGCTGTAATGTAGTGTACCGAGGTAAAAGTTTGGGACGTGGCATGTCATTCGATTGGTCTCGTCGATCTGAGTCGATGGCACCACTCCCAATTTTAGGAAATGATTCTGGACCGAGTTATATTATGCCAAAATCGACCTTACTCCCCCATGGTTTTTCAATATTTCGGGACCTATAACTCGGTCCAAAATCATTTCCTGAAATTGAGAGTGTTGCCATCGACTCAGATCGTCGAGACCAATCGAATGACATGCCACGTCCCAAACTTTTACCTCGGTACACTACATTACAGCCGAAAGAAAAAAGGGGAAACACAAACTTAACTATTACCAATACTTTTTTTTCATTAAAGTACCAAGTTACTAACCGGTCTTTTAAGAACAACATAAATTAAATTTTCTTGCTCTTCTGTTAATTTGACAATTTTTTTATTCAAATCGTCGATTGTTTCTTTTCCCTTTAATTTTTTTATTTAATTCATAGCAACTCAAATTTTATTTAAAAGAAAAAATAACATTCTTCTGCAGTTTTCATGGGTATTATTTTTATGGGGTTATCGGTCGTATTATCTATACATAGTCTTTATAATATCTTGTTTTTAGAATTTAATCCAAAGTTAAATTATGATTAAGCGGTCAAAGAATGCCTCCTTTATTATGTAACAACCTTTTTAGCTTGAATATCCAAAGAATTAATTTTCTCTTTCTTTTGTTGAATATTTTCCTCCATTAACTTTATTTTATTTGAATGTTCTTTCTCATTTTGTTTAATTTTTGTCTCCAACGATTGAATTATTTTATCTGTCTAAATAAATTTTTTATTTATTTTTATTATTTAATTTTAATCACAAAGCAAATATTTCTCCAAAATTACCAACAATTTCTTCAAAAAAATATTTAAATGCCCCATTTTACTTTAATTACAAATTTAATCTGCAAAATTTAACCCAATATACAAAACAATAATCAAAATTTCATTAAAAGACGTATTCAATTAATAATTTACCTTTTGTTTTTTCACACTTAATTGTTCAAATTCAAAAATTAATTCTTCATTTCTTTTATTAGAAGAAGAATTCATTTCAAATAACTTTAAAAAAATAAATTATTATATTAAATTTAGCATGATACTATAAGTTGAACTTGGAATTTCCGGGCTTTTCCTGTTTAATTCACAATTCTGGCCAATCTCAGTGTTTTAACAATCTATGTTAAATACAAAATAGGATCCTAAAACCTACATATAATATACTCAAGAATTATAGTAAACCCGGAATTTATATAGAATTTTTTTAAATTTGTTTTTCCACTGGCTATGGGATGCTATGCATTTAAGACACAGGTTGGCATTCCAGGAATCCTATTTAATTTTATTCGACTCATCTAAATGAGAGGAATTACTTAATATACTAAGATTTGGAGAACCTTAAAAAGTATTAAGTATTTTTTAATTAGTTTAAGTATAATTAAACTCCACAATAAATTACCTCCTTAATATCTCCTTCTAATGAAGTTATTTTTACTTCTTTTTCTTTAATGATTTCTTCCAGATTCTCAATTTTGTTTTTATTTTCTTTCTCCAATTGTTGATATTTTTCTTTATTTTCTTGTTTTATAATTTTTATATTAGCCTCGTTTTCTGTCTTTATCTGTTTAATTTGATTTTGAAATTCCAAAAAATTTTTATTATAATCAGCTTGCATATCACTCACTTGCTAAATTTAAAATAAGAATTATCCTAAAATAGTAAACATTTTAGCATGAAATAATTTTGGGCCAAGAAAAATATAATCAAAAAACCGGTGAGAGAAGAGAAGAAAAATGGGAATTGACAGGAAATGGTTGTTTTTTGATTTTCGTGATTGTCTCTAGTGCTTGCCTTCGTTCTGTATCGAGTACCGAAATTTTTTAGTTTTCAGAGAATTTTCTAAAGATTTTTCACGGTTTTCGGACAAAGCTTAATAATTCGCATAAAAATACATATTACTACTACATACTTGATAATAAGTATTTTTATTAAACTTTCAAATAAATTAACTTTAATAACCAAAACATTTAGTACCTTTTTGAGTTCACATTCCAATAAATTTATTTTTTCATCTTTTTGTTGAATTATTTTTTCTAAATTTGTAATTTTTTCTTTATTTTCCTCCTTTATTTCTTGTATTTTTAATTCCAAAGAATGATAATTTTCTTTATATTTTTGTTCCAGATTTTGACATGTTTCTTTTTCTTTGTTGGTTATTTCTTGTTGTAAAAGTTTTATTTTTTGGTCAAAGTTATTTTGGATATTTGATAAACTTTTATCATTATCCACCTCTAATTTATTCATACACTAAATATAAAAATTCAGATGATCCTTATTATTAGGTTTGCCCAAATGAACCGACTCGGACCGAAAGATGTAGTTGGTCATATGATATTTGCCCGAAAAAGACTTGTACTCGATAAAAAATAAGCCCGAAAAATGATTCGAGCGCCGGCCCGACTCGAAAACGGCAACCCTACTTGTTATAGTATACCCTCACACATTTATACAACTTTAGTTTATTTTTCAACCCCAAATGGGTACGTTGACTGTACATTTTTAGTAAAAATTGTTTTAACAAAATTTAATAAAAGTAAATATTTTTAATAATCCAAAACAAACTATAACAGGGCTTCGATTTCTGCGGATTTTTCCTCATTTTGTGGTTTTTTGATAGGACGATGAGGATTATTTTTAAAAATGCGGATTTGCGGATTTTTGTGGCCTTTTGAAGATTATGAGGATTTTTTGTATTTTCTTGTAGTTTTTAGGCTAAATGTCATTATTTTTCTGCTAAGACCATCAAAATCCTCAAAATTTTCGCCTGCGGCGCAACAAAAAGTTTTTCGAGTAATCAATTCACTACAACTAGGGACGGTGATGGCATTGGCTCAAGTCAACTGTAGTTTTTCATTTGATTGTCCGGATTTTAATAAGATAGTCATTAGTAGTTAAAAACTAGAGTTGGACAAAACGATACTGGTATCGGCCAACCCGAGACCGAGACTGACCGATACTCAAGAACCCGATACCGAGACCGATACCATCATTTTGAGCCGAGACCGATACCGAGAAACGATACTGACCGAGACTAACAGAAAATTTTATTTTACGCCAAAAAATACGTGTAAAAATAATTTATTCATTATTTTCATCATCCAAATCATCAGATAAATACTCTTCATCATCTGGATCCGATTGATTTTCGAGGTATCAGTATCTCGTCCTAGGATAAAGATATTGGCCTAGTTTCTTTTTATTTTTTATGATATAAGTATATAAGTTTGCTGGAATTTTTGTAGATTTTTCCTAATGTTCGAAATAATTTTTTGGGAAGTGGAACTATAGTTATGTGGAGGTGTTTTCCAACAAAATATTTAAAACACTAGTAATTTTAATCCCAAAATTAAATTTTGATTTTTTATTAGTCTTTTAGGTACCTGAGGACAATATTTAAACGAAAATTTAAAAAATTTTTGGTGTCTAAATGGAAAAAAACACGAAAATAAGGGTGGAACTATAGTTATGTGGAGCACTGTATTACATTCTATTACATTCGATATCCCACCGCCTCACATTCGATATCCCTCCAAATCCATTGATATCCCCATAAACACCCAAATCCCTCAAAATAACCCAGTATTGTATTTAAGCCTTTTAATTTTATTAAATTACTGGGACTCAGTTGAGCTAGATAAAAAAGCAACTCAGTCGTGCGAACTCAATCGTAAGGGCTTAGTGAAATGCTCGGATTTTGTAAGGCAAATAAAGAATGATTCACTCTTTTCAGCGCCGCAGGCGAAAATTTTTTGAAATTCAGAAGGCCAAAGGTCAAAAATTCTCAGTTTTATTAAAAAATACAACAAAATTGGGGTCTTTGAGTCAGTATCGTTTCTCGCCGAGAAATGGACCGAGAATATCGGTATCGTTTTCGAGACCGATAATGAAAAAACCGAGACCGATATTGGAAAAAAGCCGAGAATCTCGGTATCGGTCTCGGCTTGTCCAACTCTATGAAAAACTGCTCAATTCAATTGTTGGAGTCAAAAAATATAACGCATAAAGTGATTCTAACTCAATTTTTGTGTTTTCTAATTTTTTGCGGATTTTTCATATAAAATGCGGATTTTTTCGATCAAAATTGCGGATTTTTTAAAATTCGAGATCGAAGCCCTGAACTATAACCTTTTTCATTTCCTTCTCCAAAGATTTATTTTGTTCAATAATTAAATTATAATTTTCTTGAACTTTCAAAACGTTATTGCCTAATTCAAGCATATTTTGCTAAAATTTTTTAATTTAAAAATAATTTCTTAATTTTTAAAAAGTACCATAAAGTTAGAATCAGAAATTGACGAATTGTCAACCATTTTTTAAATTTAAAATTTTCTAAAATTATTTTTATTATTTTGAGGAATGGGAGGGGAGGAGGGTGGATGTATTTTAGAGAGATTTGGATTGGATAAATAAATGGAATAAAGGATAAAATTTAGGGGAAAATTGAATATTTTAAATTAAATTAGGGGCTAATTATATTTCACCAAGACTAATTCTCCCCTCGTTTTGAATTATTTTGTCTTGGAAATGAGAATCCCGGGTTATCTAGACAATAATTAAATTTATTAATTTAGAAACAGAAGAAACAAAGACGAACATTAAAATAATGTAAAAAATGATTTGTAAAACTAAATTTATATAAAAATTTTCTTCCTCGAATGTATTCAGGGAAAGACCATAAAAATTACGTATAAAGGAATGTAATGACCAAAAAATTTTAAAATATTGCTTCAGACAAATTTATTTTAATAAAGAATTGTTGAGAAAAGGAATAAAAATATTTAAAAAAGAAAAAATTGATAAATATGTAGAGAAAATGTCTATTAAATAAACTTTTTTAGGTCAACTTTCCTATTTG